GCATTTTCGTTGCGTCCTTAGTTCTTTTTTACAAGTCTCGCTGTGGTGAAACCTGTGAACTCTTGCGAAGCCTGGAGCATGTTTCGTCAAGCCATCATGCTAAAACCTGTTAACTCGAAAAGAGGCTGTCTAGATGAGTCGACACGTCGACGGGAAAGTAGCAAAAGTGCAAAATGCACCCTCCACCCCCCGCCGAACAGCGCAGAAGTTGGTACCCGGAGGTAGTTTGATGACGGCACGGAACTCATTTGTTGGACACTGAAACGTCTGACCCTTCTTCTTGAAAAGCTTCTTTGAAACGTTGGAGAATTAGCGGCAAGAACAACTTTCACCACTGCAGTATGACGGGAGATGGCGATTCCATCGAGGGGTAGTCAGGTCACGCGGCTTACCCCACGCGCGGTGGATGACGCGGCAATTCCAAGGCTGCATTATCTATCAATGGTGTCGTTGGGCAAGGCATCCGCGTTAGTTAACGCCGTCCTCAACGATCACCCTGTGGGGTTGCCCTGCCCCACGACTGAATCGTAGCAGACCCAACACTCCTAAAAGGCCGAACTTTCAAACGGCGCTGTTCGGCGGCGGGGGGGGGGGCATTTTGCTTCCCATCGATGTGTCGACCCATCTAGTAGCCTTTTCTTGAGTTGACACGTTTTAACATGGTGGCTAGACGAGCTTGCTCCAGCTTCACAAGAGTTCACAAGTTTCACCAGAGTGAGACTTGTAAACCGGAAGTAGTGAAGCAGTTAAAGTGCAAAATGCCAACCCCCCCCCGTCGCCGAACTGCGCCCTTTCAAACTTATGTTCAAGCCAAAAAACTCTACCGTTCTAGCGGTGTAATCCACTCGTTTTCCTGAAAGGTTCCCGCGGAAACGACCATGTTTGCCCTTCAGACGTTGACATAGACCGCGAACTGGCTGAAAATGAGATCATTTTCTAGCTCACGAGAAAGGCTATCATGATAAACTTGAAGCACACTCTTGTGTTCCAAACAGTGTACATTATCTTTGGGAGAACCCCATCCTGGGGGGATCGTTTTCTTGATCGCTGGAAGAGGTCGCCGGTGCGGCTTATCACGGCCGCATCTCACTGTGCAACTACGGAAGTGGACTCTGACTTTTGAGGACCGGACCACTACAAGGAATAAATTCTACCCCTAATACGGAGTGGGGTTTCTGGAGAGACAGTCCACATTGACTTTATGGGCGGAAACAAGAATTCACTGGTGCATCGCTTCACTTCGCTACCTCAAAAGAAGGAACGCAGCAATGAGGAAGGCATAATGGTTTCCTGACTCCACCCATAAGATCAGCGTGGACTCCGCTTCGAACACCTTTATTGTGTGATCAGGTAGATAATCGGAAGACTATGCCAGCAAGCTTCGGGAGTGGGGGTGCATAGAATTACCTTTTTTTCACAAAACAAGAGTTATCGCAGAGGAGATGAGGACTTTTGCCGAAGCTCAAAATGGTAGGATTTCCGGGGCGAATGTTCGATTTCCAGTATAATGCTACCCTGATTAGTTTAATCCTAATTTTGCCGAGGTGTTCCGTGAATGTCTCTTCCCAACCCTCCCCCTTCCCCGCCCTCCCCCTGGGTTGTTAGCACCCAAAAGAATTCCAGGACACTACAGAAGACAAACCTTCTTAGGACGTAGTTCGGGTGGCAAAGCAGACAATTCTCCGTTGAAGTACAGGGCAACTTGAATCTGAAACACATCTCTTACGCTATTTCCAAGATGGAGATCGAGCTGAAAAACCCACCTGTAAATGATCCCAAGTTTCCATAACAGTTTTCACAGGTGCTCCGCTTTCCTTGTGCTTTTGAAGCACATTATTGATGAGAATAATCTCGGCAAGTTTCATAGTCAGGTCGTCCTCAGTAGAACCTGTTCCCGTTTCTGAAAAGATCACCCCTTATATATAATTTGCTTCGTTTGTCCGTCTGTTTGTTTGTTTGTCCGGAAATCGGCTCGACCTGAAGAACAACTTGAAGAGGTGCATTTAGGGCACTGGACAAGGTGAAAAGAGCACGCATGACCTGCGCGAAGCCCCGCCCACTGTGGCGGGGCATGCGCTGAAAGCTGGGGTGTCGCAGACGAAAATTCATAATTCGCTTCCAGAGCAGCCCAGGGATGGGGAAAAGTGGACATAGGTTGGCAAGGGGTGGCAGACTGACTGGGAAGACGAGCCCGAGAAGGCGGAACGTACTCGAGATGGGCGGTGCTTCCCACGTAGTTCAATAACTCGGTTTTCGAGATAGTTAAGAAATCGCAAAGCAAGTCGATGGGGAAGAGTGACACTGACGAAGCTGTGCACGCCTGTGGTGTGTTGAGAACAGCCTAGAGTGGGCGGAGCTTGCTTGCGAACAAAGATACTCATTTCAAAGTTGTGGTTTGGTTCCAGAGCATTCCAGAGACCGGAAAAAGGTGTACTTAGGTCAGAAAAGAGTCGTCGGTTGTCGTAAAATATGACGACCTCATGTTGTGGGTAGGGCCTGCTCCGAAGTGGGCGGAGCCGAACAAAAAAATCTGTAAAACGGTCCGAGAGCCCAGGAACCGAAAAAAGTGGATTAAGGTCGGTGAATTCACGACTCGGTCGCAGAGCAGCATACGCATTGGGGAAAAGAGGATTCAGGCTGATACGAGGTCAACGGACGAAATGGGGAGACATC